GGTGCCCCTGGCCTGCTGGGGGACCGTCTCCAGCAGACCAGGGACACCGGGAGCAAAGCCGGGGAGGCGGAGGGGCGCTGGGGTGCTGCCGGTTGGCCTCTTAAGGGGGGGTAGTCTTATACGGCGAGTATAAGACGAAAACCTATGTTTTAACTAGAAAATTTGGGGGTCATCTTATACGCCCAGTCGCCTTATACGCCGGTGCCCCTGGCCTGCTGGGGGACCGTCTCCAGCAGACCAGGGACACCGGGAGCAAAGCCGGGGAGGCGGAGGGGCGCTGGGGTGCTGCCGGTTGGCCTCTTAAGGGGGGGTAGTCTTATACGGCGAGTATAAGACGAAAACCTATGTTTTAACTAGAAAATTTGGGGGTCATCTTATACGCCCAGTCGCCTTATACGCCGGAAAATACGGTAATAGAAATATATCTTAAATACCTATTCCATATGATAGGTGCATTCTTCTCATTAAAAATGCATAACACCCTTTTATGTCAGGAAGAAAAGATACCTGTCTGTCATGTGGGGAACAGACCCCATGAATTAGAACTTCATACGTGGAAATTATAATCCTTATAGATCTTTGCTTTTTTATATATAAATACCCCCATTGGAGGACTCTATATAATGTAGCAATAGCACACCGAGGCTATAAAGTTTACATGTCATCATTATCATATTTGAAGCAAATATTTTGGTTAGTAGTGTAATAAACATTCACAAAAACAGGAAAGAGAGCATTCAGTTTTATTCTTTGCACTGCAGTAGGATTTGTACACCCTGTTCAGTTACAAGGTGTATTGATACTGTGTATTAGTCCAAGACATGGGGCAAACACACAGTTACTCTTGGACAGACACACACAGTGCACAATGCATATTCTCAGGCATGTAGAACTGATACACATTGGCTTTTAGTTTTCCCATTGAGCCCATTTAAGACATGTACATACATTAATTTTGTGTCTGTCTACTGACAGACCCTTGCTACACCTTGCTGCATTTTTACCTGGAATTGGGAAAAAGGAGAAGATGCGCAAAGGGATGACACACAGCTCTGCAAAGGCAAAATCGACTCCAATTATGTCAACTAAAATCTTCTCTGATGTACTCGGAGTCCAAAACATCAAAAAGCAAAGCTGGAAAAGAGAATTGCATACACAAAATTAGGAAGCTTGCACACCAAAGCAAGGAAGGCGAGCAACAGAAGTTCAGATGCTAATCTACATCCTTAACTGATCACGTAAGCATTTTCTGTGTTAAATGGAGGAAGAGCTAGGTGTAAGTACAACAACATTTGGTATTTCTACTGTATTCAAAGATCTGTAGTATCCAAGGATCTCAGAGGAGGTTATAAACATTAACAAATTAAGTTCTTCCTTGTAAGACTGGCAAAAATTATTGGTACAGATGGGTAAACTGAAATACAGGAAGGTTAAGTAATCTGCTCAAGACCACATGATGAATTGATAATCTAGAATTTTCCAGTCTGACTCTTAGCTACCCTCTTTAACTATTAGCTACAATGCTGACTCTTTACATATAAACTAATGACAGAAATGAAGCAATATAGCATACCAGGAAATCCCAGGCTCCAGCAGGTTATAATTCAGTCATAAATTAATCATTGATATACAGGACAATTTAATAAACTGTACCTTTACAATGTTTGGATTCTAGAATTCCTGGCTTCTTTGCACATAAGGGGCTAGCCAGACACTAATCTAAAGTAGAAAAGGTTGGAAGAAGTCTTCCAAGGAACTTTTCCGCTTACCAAGAGTAAGAACAATCCCTGCACTTGGTGAAGTGCTAGGCATTGACTGCTGGCATTGACTTCTATTGAAGTTATGGGTGGTTAGTGGCTCTGAATACCGGGCCCCAAATGCTTTTACCACAAAGTATAAAGCAGAGTAAGAAAAACAAAACTTTCTGACCTTCCCTGAAATTAATCAAATGAGAGCACTGGGGGGAAAAAACCACAAGTTCTTCCCGAAGTCCTAGAGGAATTAATGTACTTTTGAGGACTGTGTTCATATTATCCTCCTGAAGGGTGATGGATACAATTTCAAGTGGCTCTTAAGTATCGGAATGCAATACATTCCTAGCTACCTCCTCCTCTAACTGCATGGGGAGGGAGTGGATGGGGCTTAAGTGAGATAGAGGATCCAATTTCTAATTTCCTGCATGTTTCACATCTCAGGTGAGTGCTCTAAACACTGGGCTAAGAGCTATAAGATAGGCACCACAGCTGCTCTCCAGGCTGTTATGGGTGGAGTGAGAGCTATCCAACTCATTGTCACAAGAAACAACTTAGGGGCCTACATTACCAGACTCCAGGAAAGGGATTCCCAGCTGCGCTTCCCGGCAGCCTGGACTTTTGCATTAACTCTGTGAATATGTGAGGGTAGGACAAACCCCTCTCATCATCTCCTCCTCCTGGATAACTTAAGCAGCACCTCACCTAGCCTTCTGGCTTCTGTGGGTGGCATTATTATGCACCCCTCTCCGCCAGTCATCGTAGGGGGAAGCATAAGTACCTAACTCAGGCTTTGGGGATTACTGTGCTGTGTGTACTGTGTACTTTTAGGCACCACTTTTTTGAGGTGCCTAAAAGCTAGGCATTGCAATGTTCAGTGCCCCAATCCCCAAGGAGCTTTGTGAATGTGGGCCTAATTTGTTTTTTAAGTACTTTGCAGCAGTGCTTTAAGCCTATTTTACGGCCGATTTTGAATTATCTGTTGAAAAATAAGTGTAAAGAGTAAGATGGAAGAAAGAAATGAGTCACTGTAATGTGAAAAGTGGAGATTTTCTGCTTCAGCTGGCATCTCTCTCGCGGGCAAGCAACTTGAAAATTCAGCATACAGAGGCCAATCAGAGCAGAAGTGATCTAATAACCAATGAGAATGCAGAGGTTTGCATGTGGACAGTACAAACACTAATAGCTGCTTAGTGATTGTGAATTCCTGCACTGTGGCCATCATTAGCAAGAGTGCTGTGATTTGCATATTGTATAGTTACAGTTATTGGGAAACCACTTAAAGTAACTATGCAGGAGAGCTTTCTGCATTAGTCTTCATAGGTAACTTAGAGCAGGCACAAATCAACCATTTTATTTTATTGCCCATGCTCAGACACCCACAATGAAGAGAAATAGCCATAAAGTGAATTGTTCTTTATCGCTGAAAAATCAAAGTTTGAACAATGAAGTTTTAATTGCACTAACTTCAAAGCTTTTTTCTTCTTAGACGCAGATAGCTAGTCACCTTGAAGATGACCTTGCTATTAGAAAACCAGGGACTGAACTACAAAGAACATACACAATTAATGGAACTCTAATGTTTAACTTTTTCCTCAAATATTCCTTTAAAAGTTACAGTAATTGTATTATGTTTAAAAAAGAAATAAAAAGTATGACATGATAAAAGATTGAAATAAATTCAATTTTCTCCAGTAAAAGTTCTCTCAATCAAACTCACTACTCATGGCAAGCAGTTTTTCTCCTTTCATGGTAAAAGAACATACTTTAAAACCAGCTGAATTTTGCAGATGACAAAAGCTGTAATTTTTAATAGCAGTATAACCTCTAGCTAAAACTGAAGCATTCTAGAAAAATTAAGCAAATGCAATCTATCCTAACACCTTCAAAGATTTATAGCAACATAATTCCCTAAAGATATAGAGAACAATTTCTACTTTCTAAATGAAACAGGAATTTTTCAGTCATACATTTTTAATCGTTTGGAAAATCTGTCATCCCTGTATTCAAAAGTGACAACCTGACTGTAACTTCAATGCCAGATCTTTGTTCCAGAGCTCAGGAACACATCTAAGACATCAAACAAAAACTATTCCTATGAATTTAACAAATTAGAATGAATTAACTTCATCATTCTTGTATTGCATATTAGTGTTGTAATGCTGTTCTTACAAGATTGGTACATCATTTCTTACACTGAATAGTGGCACTTGCACATTAGTTGCACAAAACAAAGCTATCATCAAACAGCAGCTCATTCTTTCACCAAAAGTATCTCAAATTGTATCTTAATGTGGCTAAAAGGAGAAAAATCATTTTTTCTTTAGTTCCAGAATTACTGTATTGTTCAAAAATACTACACTCAGGGTCCAGTTTTGCTCCCACTAAAGTTAATGGAAATTTTTTATTGACTAAAATGAGAGCAGGATCAGGACTATAAGCCCTACGCTGCATGCGGTCAGGTGTATGTTTACATAACAACCATGAGAAATTCACCTGAAATCAATTCACGGTGGAAAAGTTAAATGGACTACTCATAGCAGTATATTTGAACATGAACTTAAGTGTTTGCAGGATGAGGGCTGAAAGCAGTAAAGCTACAAAGAACTGAAGCTTCTTTACTAATAACGTCCTACCATGCAAGCTAGCTTCCTAGATTTTTAGCTTTGCAAAACCAAGGGTAACGTTTATTAGATTTGCTACATACCTACAGTGGGCCAAGCAGCATGTAGAACACAGAGGAAAACAGTCCCTTCCTTATAGATCTTACATTTTAAACAGAAACAACAGCTGGAGACTTAAATCATTGTAGGACATTACACAAACTTCTTCCCCAATGTGTCTATTACAGCTATGACGTGTCTTTTTCTGACCATGTCTTTATTAGTCAATGAGCTTAAAAAATGTGTATGGTGACTGTCAATCAGCATAACAGATGTATGCATAGAGATGACATGAATCACTAAGCACAGAGTGAAACTTGTTTAGGCTGAGAGCTTATTATTATTGGAGTAATACCTTTGTGGAGATCAAGCAACAGCATGAATTTTTATCATCTTACGGTAGGTATTATGGCAAGGCACTTCCTCCGTCTGGCTAGACGTAGCACTTCGCCCTCTGGTAGTGGTGGGACCTGGGGTAAACCAATCCTATTGGGGTCTTCAAACTATTTGAAGGCTTCAATATCTGAGATATTGCTGAGAGAATTATTCTAGAAGGGGGTGGGTGAGATTCTGTGGCCTGCGTTGTGCAGGGGGTCAGACTAGATGATCATAATGGTCCCTTCTGACCTTAAAGTCTATGAGTCTATTCTGGACAATGTGTGTGTTCCCGCTCTGTTTATTTAACAATATTGCCAACGCCACCCATGGGACAGCCCAAGGAGCTCTCCTCCAAACACTCCCCCCCCAATTTACAAAATACAAAACAAAGGGCAATACCTTTCCCCGCTCTCTTGCGAGGGTTTCAATGGCTAGATGTGGTAGATTTGCTCTTGCTTCTTGGTGTTCAGGTTGTGGAATTTTATAGTCAACATACCCAATGGCTTTATTACTTCATGTGGCCCATGCCACGTGGCCAGGAGGTTGCTTTCAACTGTGGAGACAAGCACCATCACACAATCTCCTGTTTGGGATTTCTGAAACTTGGCTCAGTGATTTTAATTGGTCTGTTAGGTCTCTTGTGCTATTTCTATATGTTTCCACACTATGGGGGGTGATTTAGGCTATTTGGTTCCATATCTGCATCACATGCTCAATGATATTCCTCCTCTGGTTGTATTGTTCTTCCCAGTCATCCTTGGTAATGTCCATTGTATCACAAGGGTGTTGACCATATAGCAGAGCAAAGGGGAAAACTCTGTAGAAATCCGGGGAACCTCCCTGATAGCAAACATCAGGAAAGACTGGAAAGTATTCCATTTTTTCCATCCTGCCTCATCTATTTCCTTATCACGTTCTTCAGTGTCCTATTAAAATGTTCAATGAGGCCGTCCATCTGTGGATGGTAGATTGAGGTTCACTGATACGTGGAGCACTGCACATGCCTTTTATCAGTTTTGACACAAAGGGGGTTCCTTGAGCCATCAAGATTTCTTTGGTTATCTCAGTCAGAGGAAATTTGAAATCAACTATAATCTGGGACATGGTATCTCGTAGGAGTATGGCTTCTGAATATCGGGTGGAATAGTTCAGAATAACAAACACATTCTGATAGGACTGAGCCATCTTCTCCAGTGGGCCTATCAAGTCTATGGCTATCCTTTTTAATATGACTTCAATAACGGGATAGTGGTTGAGAGCCATGTAATTAGCATTTTGAGCACTAAGCACAATACCATCAGATCTCCACATAAACTCCTGGCCAAAAAACAAAGAAACAAAC